TGCGGGAGTGCTTCACTTGTGTTCATTCATCCTTGTTCCCATCTGTCTTCCACATCACACAGTAAACCCACACAAACACACGCAGACAAGTGAGCATACCACTACGCTAACGCACGCACACACAAACACACGTACATCCTCTGCTTGTCTTGCGTTCGACATGGCACAACGGCCCTCAGCGCGTGGAGACCTTCGCCATCCACCACGATGCCCTCATGCTGCAGCCCGAGGACGAGGAGGAGGGCCACGCCATCGGACCAGTGCCACCACAGCTGTGGCTCGCTGACAGCGGTGCCACGGCGCACATCACCAGCGACGCCTCCCTCCTCACCAACTACGTCGCCGTCACGCAGCACATCACCGTTGCCAACAGCCAGACCGTCACGGTCATCGGCAAGAGCGACGCCGTGCTCCGCGTGACTGGCACAGACGGCGCTCCAGGCACCATCACGCTGAAGAACGTGCTGCATGTCCCCGACATCAAGTACAACCTTCTGGCGCTGAACCTGGTGACTCGCGCGCGTCGTGGTGCTTCCGTCGTCATTGCTGCGGACGACAGCCGTATCCAGTTTGCCACATGGAGCGTGCCTCTGCTGCCGTCCAAGGACACCGGCCATCTCTTCCTCTACGCCAGCACCACGACCTCCCAACAAGCCACGGCGCTTGCGGGGGAGCTCGTGCACAGCAGCGATGGGGAAGCCGAGGATGCTGACGAGGGCGCCTCTGCACACGACGTGCTAGGCCATCGCAGCAGCGCGGCCGTCGACGCCATTCGGCAGCAGATCGCCCAGGCCTCTTCCAAGCACATCGTCACCTGTGGACCATGTGCGCTTGGCAAGAGCACGCGCGCCTCCATCCCGAAGCAGTCTGCTCCACGCAGCGCTGGGCCATGCCAGCTGCTCTACGCAGACATCGCCGGTCCGCTGGAGGAGACGTCGCTGCGAGGTGCACGCTACGCGCTGACCTTCATCGACGACTGCACGCGCTTTGCCTGGACGTTTCTCATCCGGCACAAAAACGACGTCGGTGCGGCCCTGGAGCAGCTGCGCAAGGACCGTCACGTCGTCAACGCGCTCCGAGGCGCCACGCTGCAGACGGACAG